TCTTCGCTCGTTCCGACGTCTAAGCCGTATGCCGTAATTCGGGCTGTCATTATTGCTCTTCGCAGAAACACAAGATATCACTAAAAAGCGTTTCGAATTCACCGCCAAGGCACACGAATTTTGCAAAAAAACATCCTTGTTCCGGCGTCAGTTTAGATTTTCAGCAATAACTTCAGCGTCCCGGTCGACGTCAGACGACACTGACGGTAAAACAGTAACGGTAAGCGGCCGAATGCGTAGAGTCCAACGCTACGCAGTAAGTGAGGTGACTAGCTTAGAAAAGAGGCGCAGCAAGGCACTGAAATCGTAACACATTCTGTATGCAGAATAAAACCTTGAATTAAGTATCTCGTGTAAAAATAAAAGGCACAATAACTTATCTAATTTTATGTAGTTTATATATAAGACAATGTTGTAGCACTAGTACTAGATACGAGAAACAATAGTCTCGCAATAGTATTCGCTCTTAGGTAAATGGTGAGCTTTCACGACACATATATCGAGGGGGTTCTAACGATTCTTGTAATCTGTGCTATCACATATACTTTCATAGAGTGGTAGATATGTCAAGTAGATATTTCCCAATTCATATAGGCTGACACACGCTATGTTACTGGATTGCGGCAACTCTAGGGACGCACGGCATTCACTAATACAGGTTCCGTGCAAGCTATTTCATATCGAACTCAGTTAATCTTTGCAGTAAAACTGTGTCATATAATGAGGCTCGGCCAAAGAAAAAAACGGGATCAATGCGGTCGGCTTGCTAGCACTAAAAAAGTAAAGAAAAAAAAAACAAGCAAAAAAACAAGGCGCACCTGTCATACGTCGGTTAAATAGAGGTCGCATATGATGCTCCGTCCCCACTGGTTTTAGCGTGCATCAACTGGTAAAGCTTATAGCGTGTACTAATCGATCACGTGCTAATTAAGCGAGCTATTTAGCTCGACGAACAAGGCATTTTTGCATTATCGCTGGAACACCCCTGTTGGAAACGAGAGGATTGCCTACGGCAATTCAGAAACATGTCGACGTTGGTTCAGTAGACAGATACTGTGACAACTCCTTAATCAGCACCTGCGTGCCAGGCCAATATATAAAGCGTATGGTAAAATTAATTTTTAACAAGCGGTACATCTCGATGCTGCTACATATCAAAAGTTACCGAAGGCTTACTGCGTTGAAGTGCTACAATGTTCGATAAGGACAGTTGAACACTATTGAAATTGGCACTAGACTCAGCGCGATATAGCCGCTATGTTCATAACGAACCACTTTGCCTAATAGTTTTGCCTGGTTATAAACTTAAACTTAGTTTAATAGCATTTCATTGCAGTTATTCATTTTAAATCTTTTGCTATTTAAGAGCCCGTTAGGAAGCCAGATCAAAATAGAATCTTATTAATTAATCAGTTCGAGTGTGCACTTAATGGCGCACCTCCATGTCGTTCTTTTCAATATCCTGAACTGGTTTCAACGTGTAGTTGCATATACAATGAGTTGTACATAGCCGATTCTTCGGACCCGAAACAAGGCTAGTAAGCAATTTTGGGTAAATGCCCGCTTCCACCCTAGAAAAATGTACCACTTTTTCACAACTTTGAAAAACAATTGCTGCGAAATTCTACTATCTGGTCAATATGCTCGTACCTACACGTAACTACGTCCCAAACCCATATCCGTTTCTACCAGTAATTGCCAGGTTGGATTGACGGCTTCACGGGCTTCATAACAAAACAAGGTGCAAGCCAGCGGACCTAGCCTCCGCCAAGCGAAAGAATCCGCTGTGATACGGCTGGATCTGTGCCTAGGTCTCAGCATCGCTGTAGGCCGTTTGATGCAGCGCCCTATAGGCATTTGTGCGGTAAACCTGACTGACTCTAGTTGTAGCTGAATGTTAGTCGAGGAAAGGCCATATAGTCAGGACACTATCCAATGTATGAGCCTATACGAGATAAGCTATTTTTGTTGCTTGATCTATTTGTGTGCACATGTAGTCTGTTCATATTCGCTGCTGTCAATCACGAAACGCCTATGATCGATTTACGCTAGGCTGTCTAATTTATTATTGGCATGGACTGACGATCCTGGTTTGCATGACAGCCTCCTCCATCCTGCCGAAAACACATCGAAATCTATGGGAGTTTGTTGAAACTATACCCGAAACGCTAATACTAAATGGAGCGGTTTTCATTTAATTTCACCGCAGCATGGTGCACGCGTGGCTCAATGTCCTGTACCTGCCTTTGCGGGATCAGAAAGATACACATCGAAAGAATTAGCCTAAAAATTCCCGGTACGCCATTTCGGGTCGCTGGTCAGATTAGCTAAAAAGATCTCCAGTTAAATGTCAAGTTGTTAAGTGAAGAGATGGGTGAGCAGATCAAGCAGACAGGAAGAGGGTGTAGGGTAATTGACTTGAAAGCCTTTCGTTCTTCATAGTGTATCCCTTAACACCGAATCCCCAGCGAGCATCGGTGACAATTTCGCTAGCTTTGTCGTTACTGAATGTGTTGGCAAGGTTCCGTTGGTTTTCCAGTCCTTTATTGCAATGTATTAGATTGCACACAAATCGTGGTCACAGGATAATGATGATCATCACCACCGACATAGAGATCTTAACGATTGAAAAGATGACAATATCTTGCACGAACTGTGGCACAGGATATCGCTCAGACCCTATCCTGCTGCCCTGAGCGGTGTCTGTACGTGTGGCTCGTCGACAGCCATTTGTATAGGGAATATGTATGTTACAGTGTTGTCCATGAGAGATTGCCGCCTCTTGAGCACTATGGCATCATTTTACATTTTTTCAAAAATATTTTTACGTTGTTCCTGCTTCAGGACGATATTTGTCAAACGTATTACTTGTGTCTATTATCGAACTGCTCGACTTTATGTATTGAATTAAGCATGAATCAAAGAAACATGTCAGTGTATTTCTTTCATAAGCGTAACGGTCCTGATTAGTTTTCTTTCATTTAACCCTCCGTCTCGCAAAGGAGAGATTGGCTGGACAGGCGTTCGTGAAAGGGTCATCAGAGGAGCTGGGTCGGGGCGATACAACGGAGCGGCTGTAAGATGCTCCTGGATGTGGGTCCTGGCCCGTATTAGTAATTGAGACATAAAGCGTGTTGTTAGTTATTCAGCATATCATTCAGTATGTCAGCACAAGTATTTTAGCCCTAAAAGAAAATAAGCTTTCCCCATTGGTATCACTAGGCGCATTTGCAAGCTTTCAGCGATTAAAGTAGAAACCTTTATTATTTCCCGTTGGTAACGGCAATCGCTTTTGATTTTAAACATGCTCATTGATGGTGTTACAGGCTTCTTCCAGCCGGTCCCGCTGTTTATGATATGTGGGAAATTTGAAAAAAAAAAAATGGAAAATAAACCCTCAGCTTATGATAACAGCTATTCCATTGGGACTTCATTATTTGTCGTGCATGAACACAAGACAAATAACGACATAGTCTGCTTTGTGCGGACGTCATGAGATAGTCTTTACGTGTTTATTTTGTACAGATTTTATATTTACATATGTATACATTTGTATGCATATATATAGAAAGGCGCCCTGTAATAATAGAGGCAATAAGTAAAAGGTTACAATAATCATAACGGTATTAAATATTTCGAATGGCTAACATTGTCACTTGCGGTAAGGGCTTTATGATTTTTCATTTCACGGTAACAGTCGGCTTTCACAGCATTTTCTCCTTGTGTTTGCATGACTATGCTAAGCAAGCGTAACGGCCGCGCTTGTCACGCCAATAACTGTGTCCAAGTTTGAGCGTGCATTTCCGCCCTTGTTTCCTTTTTTTAGTTTTATATGGAAACGACGATAGCATAGGAAATCAGCTGATGTTCATAAGGACCACAACGGAACGGTGTTTACAAGAAGTAAACATTTACCCTGGCTAACGAACCTTGCCGTATTCGGTGGCACCTTAGAAATTCCGCTGGGGCATCGTATCTCATTTTAAGACATATGCGCTTCAGCTCTTTGATGCGTTTTTGTAATAACCTTTCAAATCTATTTTTGACGAACAGTAAATAACTAGGAGCGTTTGTCTGTGATACGAATATCAGGTTTTTTGTTTGCCCTAAGCATGTGGGTAGTGGTGACCTCAAACTAATAGATTCCATTATTTTAGGTGCTAGTGACTGCTTCACGGGAATATCTCAAGCAAAAAAATTTACCGAGTTTGGCTTCCAAAATGTATGAAAATTACGCCTATATTTTCTAGGTTACAATATTGTGAATGGGTAATTGAACAAAAAAAAAAAACGCTACTCCTCTCAGTCAAGTGCTCGGTCGGACAAACTGTTATCCCACGAACCTTTTCCTGCGAACTAAACGACTGTAGATACAATATCATGGCCATATATGAGCGTTTCATTGTTGTTCCATACCTCCATTTATAACGAAATAAAAACTGTAATCTGATTTTGGAAAGCTGCTTATCCGATTTGCAAGAACTGGGTCAATATGGCTATTTGACATTAATTGAATCTGATGCACTTCCGGAAGTCAGTACTGAACTGCAGAATAGTGACAGAGCACATCAGACGGGCACAAGCGTGCGAAGCACACATAAAAAAAAAAAAGGCAAAAAACGCACATTGATAAATGGTAAAAGCTCAGCGACAGTCTTTGTACCTTCATTTTTTATGTTACTACTCTGTTTCGCGTGCTTCGTGTTAGAAATGTGAGCTTTTATTGATTACTACTACTACTACTACTACTACTACTACCGGTACGACAGAAACTATACTTGAAACACAATGTAATATGCTCTCAGTAACTTCGTTAGGGGTTAAAAGTTCTTGGTGAAAGTTCTACGAATAAATTCAGCAGAGCTGGAATAGGAACTTTTTCGAATATATGAGTTGGTTTCGATTGACAGAGGTATTAATAACGTTAGCATTATATAGATATTACAGACGTACCATTTACGTAATAAACAATGCTTTATTTGTGCGTCTCTCTCTTTCAGTGGACCGACGTCGAGCTCACGTATTGTGGGGAATCATGGCCGCAGCAAATTCACTGGAACCCCGAACAGCTGCGATGTGTTGTCTCACAACCTCATAAAACCATCTATTATATCGCAGTAACTGTAACATTATTTTTTCTACCAGTCCTCATCATGGCGATCTCGTATTCGATGATCGTCTATTTTCTTTGGCGAGGCCGGCCAGATATTACGCTCAATTCAAACGGTAATTCAACAGCCGCAACGATACATTACCGTGCACGTAAACGGGTAAGTATATGTACTGCAAGAGCTGAGTGACCAGCGTGTTTGTTTGTTTGTTTGCTAATCTTAGCGACAAGTTCAAAATGGCCTAAGTTGAAATTCGAGCATGCGTACACATATTTCGTTTTGCGCTAGCCAGGTAACGTAACGCCTAACAGCTGTTCCGGAAGTGAAGACTTTAGTATATGCCAGCCTATGCTTTCATCATCGTAGGCGGCGATGGTGATTTTCAGTGCCCTGATTTTTGCTCGTTTAGCCTGAGCGTCGCGTTCTCTGCAAGCTCTCTCCTTTCGATCCTAAGCCTTACTATTTTCCTCTTTTGTCTACTGATCTCAAGCGCGATTCTTTCAATCTATATTGGCATACTAGGTAGAGCGTGTTAATCGCATGACTGGAACGGCTCAAAGGGAAGGATGATGAAATGACCGTTCCTGCAAGTCATGGTTTCGAAGCAATATCAAACATATTCCGAACCATGGCCCAAGCTGACAAAGGGGTCCAGGGTTTAGTGGGTGAGAGTCCCACAGTACCGGACAACACACAATTCAGTGATGTCCCGCCTGCGTAATGCATTTGCCCTTAACCTCAAAAAAAAAAATAAAAAAAGGTGGTGCGTGTAGGATACGGGAGCTTCTGCTGCCAGAGAATATAGCTTGCAGAACTGTTACGGACCTTACATACATGGCAATCGCATTGATCCTGCCTTACTTCTGGAACTTCTCTATCGTGAGCTCCACATGCTTAAAAATCAGGAACGACGAAATACCGATGAGCTTCCGTTACGTCTACGTATACAGTTAGTACGAGTAACAGTCTTTTAATTATATCGACGCCAGTATCTGGTGTAGAAGCGGTATCTATTAAACAACAGAATGTAAAATATATAGTCTTTCCCGGTCTGAACTTTGTGCACTGAAGGTTTCCATGAATCGTTATTATCGGATGCTGTGGTCTATTTTTGTGAATATGAATACTAGGCTGTAGCCTCATTAACATCTCGAGACGTACTATTATCACTAGATGAAAGGTCGACGAAGTTGGCAACCTGCCTTAACTGATAGTACGGTTATTTTTAAGGCATATTGTTTTGTTAAGTATTTGTTGTTTGTTACATGAACGGCGTAATGTATTTATAACAATTAATCAGCGCGTCAGTTTCCTTACTAGCTTAAATAAGCAACCGGCATGACACGTATTTTTTACTACTTTCTTAAATCCTAAAACTTACAACCCTACTTAATACATTAATTGGCAATGATAATCGCTGTCGAGTCGTCCAACTCGGTAATAAACAGATGCTGTTTCCGCCCGGCCGAGCTTGTACCTTCCAGCACTTAGGTTTGACAGCGTTATTAAAAAGCTCGCAGGACGTGAACTAGTGTGAGATTTAGCGGTCCAATGCGTCTTGAAATGGGGCACTCTGCGTGAATAGAAGCTTTTAGCTATAGCGAAAGGATAACTCTCTTTCAGGCAGCTTTTTTAGGGCCTTTTCGAGTCAGCTAGTTCGCTTTAGGTGGCGGCATTTAAAAGCACCTCGACGAAACCCGAAGTACGTGGCGCTTCGATGCATCGGACGGTCTCGGTGTTGCCAGGATCACCGTCGGTGTGCCATCATAGCTGGTGGCTTTCCTTTTTTTTGTGCCCAAAAGGAAACCATCTACTCCTAAACTCGCTCTTGATGCTACCATAATAGCTATTGTCGTCGTGTTGTTATCATCAAGCAGTAATCTCACGGCAACGTTACTTTTGACTCTGTCGCTGTTGTGTACCATTCTATTTGTTTCGCTTCGAGCTTTATTCAGAACAGGATGAAATAGGACGCAACGGCACAACGAGGACTAATTAGTTTGACAGAGCCATCTGACGGACCTCTTGCCCCTGACACAGCTGAAATGACATTTTCGCTAAAGCGGCTACCCTTCGCCTAAAACGCCACGTCTTTGTAATTGTGCATTTTTTTTCGTTGCTTTTGTCTGCCATATTTTTTTTGGATAGTCGCAAACACTCGTTCGCAAATGAGGACGGAACGAGTGCAGCGTTGGAACGAAATGGCGTAGTGAAATTTAAACGCACCCGCAAGTATGGATCCAACAATGTGGAACAGAGTGTAGCATTGCAAACTTAACTCGGAGACGTTTCTAAAAGCAGTTTCAGGATCTTGAAAAAAAAACTCCTTCAAGCGGCTACGTCGAGCCGATTTAAACGGCAATCGTTTTCAACAAATTATTTGTGAATAAAATGAAAAAAGCGTTGTTTATCCAGTAGACGAAATTGGCTGGATATTAAGTCAATACTATTTGACGAAATTCAGTCGAACCTACAAGTTCCAATAAGACTTTAACAGAAACTTTACAAGAATAATAATAATAATATCGTTATTAAAAATCCGTGCGATCCTCCTCGTAGTGTATCGTGTGCCTTTAAGAAAACCTGTATCGTTAACAACCCTACAGGGAAGCTTATTTCTAAAGCTATTCGTAGCTAACTGGATGCTAGACCTTATAAGCCAAAAACTTGGCACTAGACAATCTTGCCTGATGTTGGTCGCACATATTTTCTTATTTGACAGTTCGGCCTGACTTTGCTGCTTCGTTCGATTTTGCCTTAAAGCAGGCTGTCTACCTATTCAGAAAGATATTTTCTCCGCTCTCATATCCTTCGTTAAAGACCCTTCGACTCGAAAATAGAGCTTCTAAAGATAGTACGTGTCTGAAGCAAATAGAAGTCGGGCTGCGTTCGCATCTGTGATTGACATTAACGGTTAGACATTAGCCTAACGATTAGCCTGAATTACGTCTACGCTAACGGTGAGATCCAAAGTCGCCTGACTCACATCCACCAGGCAAATTAATTATTGATTTTCCGTAAAATGAGCGAGAGGGCGCAAAACTTCTGTTTTTCGGTAGGAAGAGCAGTGTGGCCTAATGCTCTTTTAAGACTCTGGCTGGGTATCGGCAGTCTTATGCATTTCCGCTAGGCATTACACCAGTCACAGTCAGTGGTCAAGGCAAGATTGTGACATAATAATGCTCGCTTGTTTCAGTGGTTCTTTTCTCCCATAAGTGTGTAACTGAACGGCGTTGTTGGTGGATCAGTACACTAATCAGATAAACGTCACTTACAACAAGGTTCGATGAAAATTCGATGGCTCATTTGAGCTTAAAAGAAAAAAAAATCAACACAGATGCTACGGGATTCTACTCACTTTTGGCAATATATCTATGAAACGTTTGCCAAGTGGTGCAATTTAGCTAGTAGATATTCCAGTCGTTTAGGAACTTAGAAGTGAGAACCAGTTAAGAAGAGATGAGTTCAGAAGGCCAAATATATTTTACTCTCGAGAACCAATGCTCGCTGGCAGAGTTTTTATTCCCTGAAGACCGAAGGGCTGCGAAAATTCAGCGAGTACTAATGAAGTCATTCGTCAAGGAGGTCTTGAGTGAAAGCACAAAGGTAATGAAAACTGGAATGCCCAGGCCGGCTAGAAATGTGTGGGGTGTATGTTAAGTGAAATTTGCAGAATTTTAGTAACAATGATTTTTTGTTAAACAAAAAAAAACCCGCCTGGAGTGTACGGTCGCTAGGGGCGAAGCATATGCTAGTATCTACCCCTAGACAGAGAAGGACCAGGCAAGGGAATGGCGTCACTACGGAGAAGAATTACGGTAGGTGTAGTTTCCAACGTAAGGCCACTTACAAATGTTCTTTTGCTTTATATTTAACCCGGCTCTGCATTTATTAAACGGTCCCGAGAAATAGTGAATTTGGACCGTTCAGCTGCGGACGTAAAAAAGCATTTCAGCATTTTTTTTCCTGGTCCTAGTTTATGATGAACACATAAGAGTATCGAATATTTAGTTATGGCCAGATAATCCAACTGCATGTTGCATGTGGATCTCGAATATAGGGGCAAGGGCAAGCTGGAAAGGGCTAAATTATCAAACGTAGGATTTTTATGCCATCGCTATTAATCCTACTGTGATAGACTGGCGTAAGCTCTTTTAGCATGTTAGCTCGGCTGAGGGACAGTTTACAAACAACTTTACCCCTTTTTATTTACACGTACTCCTTTGTGAATATAGTTAAGGTATACCAACATTTTGCCCAAAATGTAATCTAAGCACTCGTAGGAATTCATTGTTGCATTAAAGAGTAAGGTGTCAACATTTGTAATACTAAAAGTGCATTGACTCTCAAGTCAAGGCTGCACCACTTAACGATAATGATGATTCGTATACTAGCAGCGCGGATAAGGCGGGCCTCTTGGCGCACATCTTCGAATCTATCTACAGTCATTTAGACAGTGGATATCATCAGTATTTCGGTCGGAACACTGAACATTTTCTCTGTAATGTTAGCTCGTGGCCGGACGTTAGTTATCAAAGGCCCTTTCACGCAAAAGAGTGCGGTCAAGCCTCTAATACGCTTCTATCAATCATTTCCTCTGAACTGCGCCGCGCTGACTGAGCCGTTATGGTTCATGTTTGCGCGAAGCTTCGAAGATGGCTCCATACCACAGGTGTTAAGGGAACCAGTTGTCATTCGCGTGTCACATACATAAAATAGTATTAGCTAAAATGTTGTTCCCTAACATCAGTCCCTCTCTATACTAGTTTGCTACTCAACCTCCCTCTGTGATCAGGCGCGCGATCATAAGCGCTTTTTCCAAGCTTGACCCTTGTCATTTTAAGGTCCCTTGTAAGTCTCGCATGGGTTTGCTAACGTGTGTGCTGTATGTGCCTCAAAATTTATTTACGAAAGCACAAACTTTTACATGGAATGCAGACAAACGACGTAAACATTGGCAGCTCCGCCCTAGGCCTTTACAGCAAGATCACCCCACCAGAGGCGACAGATTGCATATTTTGCATTAACGCGTTGCAAAAAACTGATATTATACCTGTAGAAGTATACTACCTATAAAACCTATGGTCTACTCATGAGAAAGCTATTGAAGTTCCATTCTTTAAAGATCGTGAAGTCAGCTGGAGTGTCTATATAAGATTACAAGTAAATGCCGGCGAAACGACGACATAAAGTGACATTATGTTTTCCGGTCTTTTATAAACTAAGATGGCAAAATGTATCTAAAGTTAAGTAAGAGTCTGGTTATACCAAAATTGATGTTCTGGGATCATGTTTGGTCGCTTTTCGTTCAAACAGACATTGCTCCTCTACTAATTCAACTGGGCTTTTTAAAAAAATCAAGATATTGTATATTATATACACTGTTGATATACTTCCAAGTAACCAAGACTAGCGCAATACTAGCTACAAGATACTGCAACTGCTTCTAAATAGCGGCAAGATCATCGACTGTTTTAGTTGTAACTAAACAAGTCATCCAGCCGAGCCTCAATGAAACCCATCAAAGGAATAAGACGACGCTGCCATAGCCGACGACGTTGTCGAAAAGGACCGTTCTTCTCATGGAGGACGTTCCGCCGGGCTCCCGAATGCAATATTCGTAAGGCTTTCCCTGAGCTCGCTTTATCATTGAAAGACGTTTGCATTGTACTGTACCAAATATCGAACGTGAAGCTGTCAAAAGCCAATTTGGGCCAAGGATAGTCAGTCGGCTTATATAACATGCTTTCTAGGCATATGGCAGTAGCTCGACCTCTATAGGCTTAGGTCTTGAACTATCATTATATCGCCTATCATTTTTATGTTATTTTCGAAATTTAGTCCGACGTGCTTTAGGCACAGCAGACTTACCCCACTGCCAACTAACTATTCCATCAGTGTACATACATCCAATTGCAGTAATGTACAGCAATGACAGTTGAACATATCAGTGGGGCATACGTATACATAATTCGTACTACAGATTCAGACCATACATATTTGCGGAACCGCGCTTTTCGATCATATCATAATGAATCGAAATTTCGACAAAAATTTTGATTAATCATACTTGATTTTCAGCATTTAAAAGAAATTACTTTAAAACTTTCCTGAAAGGTTAAAGTTATCTATGTAAAGCTGAAATCTTGTTTTTCATTTTTAAATCGACCCAAATCCAAACGATTAAAAAAAAAAAAAAAAAAACCTGTCATTCGTTTGACATGACTCGGTATCTTGGTGGGTTTGAAAGGCAGCCAATTTCCGCTTACATCATACCGGTGCTTGAAGTAGCAAACGTTACCTATTACACAGGTTTGGTAGCAAGGAACTGAGTGCTGATGCGTGTTTTCGAAAATACTGGGTATTTTCAGTTGACAAAGCCGCCCTTGTTGGGTGGTATATTCACTGACAAAAGCGCTTTTTGTATGAGAGAAAACAGAATTTATTTCCGTTGGGCGATTGTAGTGGTTAGGCAACGCCTCTTATCGTCGAATCCAGTCGAGCTAGCTATAACTGTGTTCTCCACTACAATCTGCTGAGGCAGTCGGTCTCTGGGGCTGGATATACACCAAATCGCCGAAGATGTGTATCACTCTTACTGCGCCGGTATAAAATGCGTCAATAATAGTTACGTTAAGCGTTTCCTGTGATATCAACTTGTGATCTATCTAAAAAATCTACGATATTTCAAGTCCTATTAAGACACCCGATCGCGTCGAAGACAACGTTGAATAACAACAATACTGCCCACGAGTAAAGCTTGTTTCAGCACTTCAGCATTTCCATTGGCGTTTCGAGGGCATAAAATAAAAGATCCGAACTTATACTTTAAACCAATACTTTTTTTTTTACCATGACGAAAAGTTTTTAAGTAGTTATATTTTGAAGTTTAAAAACTTCAGCATAATTATTTAATTATTAAAATGTTATTTTATTATCTAAATTTCAAGGATTATTATTAACACGCATTCTAAGAAATCGACTCGCGAAAATCAATAATTGTCATCATTTGAACAATAAAATAGAATTTTAATTATTTTATAATAAAGTTATACTTTACCCGTCAGGCAAAGTACGCGTGCATACGGTCCATATGGTGAAATAATTATTAGCGCCGCATGTTCCAGTTTAGGAAAAAAATTTCCTTTACAGGAGTTTTCCCTTCCAAAGATCGCGTTCCAGTTTTGACCTACGTGTCTACACGCTGTCAACATAAGTGGTTGGTTTTTTTTGGTATACATACAACATAAGTGGTCATTTTTGGCTAATGAACGCCAGCAGCAGACCGATCCAGCTGATTAAAACGGGATCGGGATCAGGTTGAGCCAAGCGACCTTGAGTTGGAGATCCCCGCGCGATTGTATAAGCACACATAGCAACACCGTTAGGCTTCCAGAACTATATACGAGAGGATAGATATGGACACAGAGAATCGTAGCGCTGCAAAGAAATTACAATTGAGTCTTAGACACTATTATATTATCGTGACCCTAGTTATGAGTTCACAAAGGAACGCAAACTATCCTGTTTTACGTTCGAACGTACCTACAAACTGCATTGCTAAGGGGTTATAAAGCTGGCGTTATAAAATAAACTGCTATTGGCTGCGACGCAACACTATCATTATCTAACGTAAGTTTACAAAATTCTCCTTAAAGCATATATCTACTTTAACGATTACGCAAGCAAACAGATAATGATATAGATGCAATATGTGCTATATCATAACAGCGACTTTCCTACCCCTCGTTCTTATTCCGTGGCCTTATTACCAGGTATGGTAAGGTTCGGAATTCTCTCTTAGAAATCAAATGGATATTTCCTTCACGCCTATGAACCACATTTACATTTTCCGATTACTTTTTGCGGGTCGCCTCCTTTTCCCCCTTCTCTTCCAACTATCTTCTCCCCTACCTTTTCGGCGCTTTCTGGCTGTTCCCCTTATGACAGCTACAGTGGAGCTATTCTGATGAAATGCCGTGGCGGCTTTGTGACAGCAGTGAAATCGCCTGTCAAATCGAGCTTCGTTCTCGGGGAAAACAGGGCATGGCCTGCCCGCTCCCTCCACTATTGAAGAGCAGAACAAGCAAAAGGTTTCTATATCCGTTCGGATCGGAGACGGCACAGGGCAACATGAGCGCGGTGGTACAACAGTTATTGGGTATTTTAGCCCTGCAAAAAGCACAGACAAATGTCTTGGCCACCACTTGGCAAAGGCCGCATATAAGGCCGTCAGGAAAAGCTCGAGAATCCAGTTTTCTTTGATACACACCGGCCGCTTACTTAGAAAAAGACTTTCAAAAGACTGACGTAGGACTGCAGGAGTACTCTGTGAAGCATCAAGGAAGATACCACGATTACGTAACGATAATGCCCAGCACTGCTTGTAACATGGGTCACGAAGCGATCTTTGACAAGCCGCAGGAGGGCTTCACATGAATCGTTTCACGCTCCATAGAATATACGAACGTTATCTGTGTAGAAACGTTGGAAAGTCAGTTCCTCAGGTGAATCACAAGCAACAGATCAGGGTACTCTAGATGTTACTTACTTCGGCATCAATGTTGGAGCAAAGTCAATCAACGTGTTCAAAAAAATCATTTGCTTAAGACTATTTTCGTGCAAGGTCAAGAAGGATTTCAAAAGCACGTATGAGGCAAGATATCTCTTGATATCGGTGATAAAACAAGATCGGGCTTTTCGAATGTTCTTAGGTAGCTACTTAGACGAAGCTAATGAACCAAGCTAATCAGAAAGAGAATGCTTATCATCATTATCTGCGCCAGTATCCGAATACACCGGAAAAAACTACACTGACCTAGCGAATATATACTATATACTTAAGTAGATGTTTGTACAGCTCAAATAACCATTAGACAAGCTTTCGAGTTGTTGTCCTGTTAAAGATTGGATTATAGTTCACTCAGGATGCTGGCTTAAAGGTATCATACTTTTACTTAATCCGTAAGGATAAAATGTATCCATGTGCCAATGCAACAAATCTCGAATTTTCATCGAACTAAATAACACTTTGCGTCTAATTACGACGACTTCTTTCCCGCCTTTCCTTCAGGTCTATGTTTAATAGACTTTAGGTCCCTAGACATCGTCGCCCACTTCATGAATTCTAGCTAGGTACACATATGACGTGTAGCCTTGCAATTTTGTCTATATTTTCTCGGAAGAGCTATTGGCTCATAACAATTTTTGATCAAGTGCCGGCTTTCCTCCCTCGATTCCATAGTACAGAGAATTTTGCACGAATACCCAATGCGACCCCACGCTGGCATAAGGCCGATAATTTAGCGATGTATCTGTACAAAACCAGTATTATTATCACGCAAACGCTGCGAAATTAATATATTAACGCGATGAAAGGCATGTTTCATGCCTAGCGTTAAATTGACCAAGTAATTCACGATGTGTTGTTTCTCCTTCGATCTCCTCTCGGCGTTGAGCTATTGCAGGTGGTGAAGATGGCGTGCGTCGTGCTTGGCGCGTTCATCATTTGCTGGTGTCCTTTTCAAGTGATGGTTCTTTTCACGAGGCTGCAGGAAGACAAGCCGGTGCGTATGATAAAACAGTGAATTAATTATTATCAAAATACACAGGTATTTTGTGTTTGTATCTGCTTATGCATGATCTTTAATATGATATCCCTGGACCTGCCCATTTAATAATACAGAAAAGGACAGTATTCTAAATCCAAGTCATATTAACGCTTAGTTTGTTAGTTTTTATTAATGTTGTTCTATTGTCTGCTACATGCCGAAATAGTATACTGCATAACGTTGCATATTCTCTTCGTTATCCAAGAACACATATCCATACAACGTATTTGGATTTAACTGTATTCTTGCGGAAGATTTACTTTCTCGTTGTAGAACCTAGGTAGCTCTTACTCCTATTTAAAGCACTGCTAAAGCTGTGCCCTCCCTTTTTTCGGGGGAACGCAGCCCAGTACATATGTCATAGCCCGAATCGTATTCACAAATAAGAACGGCTTTCCGATGTTAGGACTGTTCGCACCTGAACCTTGTCACAGGCTGGATGATAAAGTATTGCCAGTTTATCGTCTTTCTTACACTTATTGATATATAAACAAATTCATGCTTCATTAAATATAGAGGTTCTGTATGGATCACCGCCAATCTGGTTGTTCATATATTGCTTCTGTACGTTACGTAACTTTTAGTTGAGCGTGAACAATGTCTAAGCAATTGCAGGCCCTGAAACGGTCTGCAGTTTTTTAGGTTTATCTGCTGGAAAACAGCGGTCTACTTTTCAGTGTTGATAACATTTGTTCCCTCTGTTACTGCTGTAACCATAAGCTACTCGCGTTAGGGGTCTTACATTGTAACTTGCGAGGCTTTTTTAATCGTTTAATCGCCATTCGACGGTTGTGAAGCTCAAGCCAGACTTTTCGTCCATAGACAAATGAAGCCATGTTTGTTAATATCTGTATAGCTTTTTGCACCTCCGCAATTCTGTTGTTCTGTATCGAGCAAGGATTTTTATTAGTGTCAAGATGGCCCCGAGGCATCGTTGGTATACTATTATGCTTATTCCGCAAAGACCCAAATTCTACCTTGCATCTCCACCTTCTCCAACAGTCCCGGTTACATTTATATTTATTTATATTACGTTTCCGACTATAAATTCTAGAGCGATATGATGTCCTGATATCTGCGGGGGTCACCTGTGCAATGGCTTTCTGATAATTTTTGACGCTGTTGCTATTGCGTTTAGGTATGTTAGTCTGGATACTGTTGCAGCCTGCCGGTTTACTGTGGAATCAGCGGTAGCGGCATAACGCCTAGTCATCTAGTTGCATGGGTGCCTTGACCCATTTCTTGATCCCTTGTTTCAGATTCATATGCTCATGCTGGCAAGCAGTTAGGCTATTTTCCTCATACGGCCACCTAGTCTTCCCGATCCAGGAGTGGTTCATACCGTATCCGTTGAGTATATCTTACTTCAGACCCTTTGTTCATGCTAGTTTCTATATTGTATGCTATAATAGAACTGAAAACTTGGCCTTGTTTTCAGGCCAGTACTGCTATTGATATGAGTACAATGACATTATCATCTTTGTGTCTGTTCTTATTGAATGTGTTTTGACTCAAGCTGTTAGGGTGTTTCCTCGACGGGAATCGCTTTGCACACTCGATTTGCACACGACTTTATCTGTTCCATTTGGGATGTTATTGAACCGGTTCGCTTTCTATGCATGTCTCAGTTCACCCAGGTTTTTCATGGTTACTGGCCGTATCCTATGTAGGCCTGTAATCCTGTTTGACGGTTTGTATTCCAACATCGTCCGCATCATGTTATACTGATGCGCTCTGAGTTTTCCTCTGGCGCGTGGTAAGTCCTACTCACATGTTTCTTCGATCGGGTATAATATCTTAGAGTCAATGTGTTTGCTTCAGAGTGACTCAACTAGAGAAAATATTTCCTTATGCGAAAGTACTTTTTTTTTTTTTTCTAAAAGCGTCCAGCACTGCGCCGTGTTGCCTTTTTTTCGACCTTCTATAATGCTCTTTCTTTGTATATAAATATTTTTTTGGGTCATTTTCGGTTAATGCTATCTCCGGCCATCCAAATGACGACTGAATTGGGTCAAGGTCTGTTGCAGTTGTGCCTAATCTCTTCGGCGTCTTGCTTCATCTTTTCGAACTGGTAGAACGCACTGTTATGGTTCCTAATTTGATTTTCTCGTCAGCCTTATTGTTTCCTTCAAAGTTACGTAGTTTTCGAGAATTCGCGTCATGGTCCACTAAGCCATTGGATATTTCGCATGCTTCCATCTTTATGTTCACTAATCGTATTCACCTTCCGTGGGTTTTTTTTTTGGCGTCAAAAGGGCATCCTAAGACAGCGTCTTGTCGCAATCTATCTTTTTTTGTGTTTATTACGGCTAGTATTTAGAGCATGAATGGTTGCTGTCTTAGTAGTTGTTGCCTCGTAAAGGCCTGTCTAGTAAATATTAACGAGTCTATTTGCGTTGCCCTTAGTTTTCTGGTGATGCCAGTAATTTCGTCTATGCGAGGGCTCATCTTGTCGAACAGTATCGACAAAACGTTTTAACTATTCATCCGCCTTAATCTACCTTCGTTAACAGTGGCGATCGGCAGTCGCGGTAGTTTCTACAATTGGCGCTAGAGTTCCGATTTCGCTGTTTGTTTAGCCTCGCCTTCTTACAGTTTTGTCACAGTGGAAAAAAACGGAGGTCTATGACAAGTTACTGTTCACACAGTTACGAACTGTGCAGAACCCGATAAATCATTTATCTGTTAGTTATAAAGCGAGTGATGAGCCACTTGGAGAAGTTCCGTTACAAGCTACAGTCTAGAGCTTGTTTAACTTGATCGGTGAACAGTTCGAAGAAGATTCGATCATGATAGAGTCCTATGTATACAACCCTCAAGTTCTGGATTCGAACTCTAAGCGTAACGTTTTCAACGAGCCACTCATGCTTACATCATCAATAGATATAGCTGTAGCTTTACCTCCATTTAGGGGAAATTTTTTCATCGTGCTACTACATTACGTTACGAATATTGTTTTAGGCCATTGATAAAGGTGACCAGCTTCTACGATGCTTGAGAAACGATTAGTCCGTATGTTTGTTAAACTGGCTTTTATTTACCAGCTTGACGGCGGAAAACAATGGGATGTGTTGGACATTGCACTAGTAATTAAAGTTCGAACGATTGGTTCGGTCCTTCATTTGCTATCTCAGCATGTAGCCAGGACTCCATTAGAAAATTATACTTTGTGGGGTGAGAACTTAATGACACTTAGTCCCACATCATCGGCTAAGCGATAATCTAGCCGGAGTGAATTGGACGAACTTCGTGAACGAAGATTCGTATCTCTACTCGTTGGCTTTATTTAACCCATCTATAACGTTTGCTAGATTTATATTAAACAATATTTCTTAATAAACAGTCGACTATTACTATGAGTCCTGCCGCTTCGGTACAAAGCGCGCAAGATAGTTTTTCCTTTCTGACATGCTTAAAGTCTGTCACCACGATCTGCCTACACGATGTTTTAAGGTTGTTAGCATATATGTATAGCTGGACTGAGCACCTAATCAAAACGCCTAGTACTTATAATGGTATAATGGCAACGTGCCCATTTGCTAAACGTAAGACACGTGGGGCGTTGTGAGTTCGAGAGCGGGTCTAAACGTCTTTCATTTCTTCGTGTCAGGAAGGGCCTGCTGTATTACCAGAAACATCTTCTTTATTACCCAGCAGGTCACATTCAAGAGCTTCGAATAACTTCTAGAAGCGATTTATGTAGTCAGAACAGGACGAACGTATTGGCTCAATATTCCGTCTTCGCCTTGTAACTCTTGGTGGATTTTCTTGGTGTATATATTATTGTAAATGTTTCATTATTTATATAAAACTCATATATGGTGAATAAGTACTAAGTAATCAAGGACGACGTGGCCTGTATAGCTGACGGGCAACACGCTCAAAGGAGTGCGTGTACTGATTGCTGGTTTAAATTTCGGCGTTGACAGGTGCTTAGTATTGCTATGCCGCCCTATAAGCACGTTGCGGTGGCTCCAGATGATTACAGCAAGATCCACCCCGGCTAGATCTTCTAGTGGAGGCAAGTCCTCGATGATTTTTTCACACAGTAAATATAGCTAGGGCTACGTTGAAAAAATAAGGCTCAGAATATTTTCGTAGATCGCGGTTGTCTTCTGGACTGACACGTGTGCTTTACTTGAGACATGCATTGTACGAAGCTGTCATGAGATTGTCGTGGCAGGCAGATTTCTTCTGCCGCGCTGGCATCCAAAAACTGTCTGGATATAGCCGAAGCGTGCCGTGAACTGTACTATTGACACCCACTCATTTCACTACTATTGCTTATTCTTGCGGATAGAGCTTTCTGGAAAATGGTACATAACCATGTGTCAGGCGTTTTTGCTTAGTATCCAGTACCGATTGCGCACCTATTTACTATAGCCTAAGTTTAGGGACGTTTTTTAAGAAGGAGAGGACAACGTAGCACTTGTTTCGATTAATAGACGTTCAATATATAACCTGAGTCACGTCCGTACATATATATCGCCTGTAGGGCATAGCTAAAGCATTACTTATTCAATCGACTTATGTTAATAAAAAAAAAAAAAAAAAGCTGTCTAACAAATAATTGTCTCTAATTCACTATTGCAATTTTCATGAAGACCTAAACGCCTCTAGCCATTTTGTGCATCCATCGCTCCTCTGCTTGTAGCACGAGGCAGCCTTAGTTGGTGGATAGTTAGAGACTGGGTTTTGTATATCGAGGCATGGCACATCGCTGCATGAAATGCATCTGTCGAATCTGTCGAAATGCACCCCTTAAAATGGTAGAGCATCTGGCAGGAGAGCGTTCAATAAGTACTCAGGATAGGAAAGAAACCGCCTTATGTGAAACTTCAACGCCTACGTGGGAGCTTGGACTGAACATCGGTAATGTCTAGAAGGTCATTATGAAGGAGGCGACACCTTACGTATCTGAGACGGGTACAAATGATTCGGGAGATGCGTCGTGTCGAACTCTTCGGGGAAAATGTTATTGTTTTAGATAAATATTATGCTTATAGATGAAACATTGTATAATACAGTCATCTAGTGACGATTCGTATGCTTATTTTAGTCACTTATTTATTAATCACATTCAATTCATATCCGATAAATATTTTGACCTGAAATTTGTGTATTTTTTTTCCATTTTACTAATGTAATTTTATGTCAAAGTAGGCTAAAGTATGCATTGGCAAGAGGCTGAAGTTTATTCCGCACACATTTTCTTGGAATCGCTACATAAACCATTACGTCGGCCTCATCCATCGTATTCAGGTAATTCAATTACTTATGATAGGCGTCCTGCCTCCAAATGAATTGGACTTCGGCTGGCGGCGACCGATAAAACGATACAAAAATAATTTCGTCCATCGTTACTAACCTATTTTTCGTTATTTCAACATGTCTTTCAGTTGCCTGATTGGTTTTCAACAGTTTCGTTCTGGTGCACTTACCTCGCATACGCCAATAGTGCAATTAACCCGCTCATCTACGGCGGTATGAGCCATAACTTTCGGGCTGCCTTCATAAGGATCCTCCGCTGTGGAAGGGGCGATCACAACCGCAAACAACGTTAGTATGCTCTATTTTGCGTGAGAGAAGTATCTTGATATTCTCCCCATACGATAATATTGTACCTTGCTGGCAAGAACTCTTAAAGCCTCTCAATGACCCATTGAATTGTAAACCATCTCCTGTGAGACTCACTCTTCGCTACCCCTCATTCTCTGTCGATGTCCAGTGGACGCCGAGATATGAATTTAACTCGCCGGGCGTGACTGATACTATCATATCGTTCGATAGAAGAAGATGTAATCGTTTAGCGAAGTACGTCTTTCGTGTGGTTGAAAAATATACTATGCGATGTGGGCCGCTATTGATCTATACCTGTTCAAATTAGGAGGCAGTGGACGTTCCACGGAACCCGTACGTTGATTTCGATCCACACATACGTGTATATATATATAGAATCTTATTTATCATATATGTTGCTATGTTTATCGAGCCGTAAAACACCGGATCAGTCTTACATAGATAGCGCTTACTTGTAACCTTCAGATGTCGTAAACGTCAATTATGAATTATTTGAACGGTGTTTATATTAGACGTAATAAAATTAGCTCTTTGTATTATATATTCCTGTCGACAGATTTCTGTGAGCAGTCACCGTCTTCTGCCGGGTTCCGCAAAAAAAAAAGGAATCTTAGACCCAATTTGCCAGATCTAGCAAACCCTACCATCGATATGGATATTTGCAGTATCCATCTTTATCGGGACAATGCCGTATAACATCGGCTGGTGATTATCGAAACGTTAAACTAACGTGTTTAATTGAATATCTTGTATTTGTGTGTCTCAGATATATTGATTTTTCACAGGTAACTAAGTGAGAATAGAAGCGGATTCGTTTGCTTTGATAAATTGGACTTAGATTTGTGTTTGTGTACATACGAATTGATATGCGCTACTTGCGTTCTATACGTTAATGCTTATGTATGAGGATTGCTGGCAATTTCCTAAGGTAGACCATTTATTTCTTTTCGATTTGTCTAGGCCCATGCTGCAACACAGATCGCTTTAGAATTCAATAACAAAAAGCTAAAATTCTACTATTGCACATAAAAGCACAGTGTATTCCAATCGGAGAGTAAATTGCACCGCTATTCACAATAGAACCTTAAGTGAAAGAAAAAAAGCTACCTGCGTTTGACTGTAGCGGGAACGCATCTATAGGGAAAAATGTGCCTGTAATTATCTTATAAGGCGCTTTCACCTAATCTATACCCACCAATCGTTAAGATAGGAACTTAGAGTGAGAGAGTCGCAAGGATCATTTCAAGTGTCAAACGTTTTGCTAAGTTGGATAAGGTGCGAGCCGCGTCCCCACCTGGCTGTTCTTGAGCTCTTTTTTTTTTCTTGGTCCCCTTTCCCACTGGCTTCCATTAATTGCATCTTGCTTTGCATCCGCTAGCTTTGACAGTATCAGATATCTTATTGATTCGTAACGAAGAAGCTGTTTTAGATACCAAACATGGCCAATAAGTAATCTGATTTCGAGCCTGCATCGGACGCGCGCCTGGCAGAGCTTCGCGCACTTGTTGTGGGCCTCATCCTGCCTCTACTGCTGGTGTCACAGTGTAGCGTCGTTGGCCACCTGTCACCTCAGAACGGTCTGAAAGCATGACCGATTGTTGAATCTGTCACATTCACCGATCGAGTCTGCTTTTACGGTGGCCAGTCAGTCAGTCAGAGCAGGCGTCGTAGCGATTGTCGATCGCGTTATTTTTTCGAGCATTTGATTTAGCCAGTGGATCTTGGCTAAAATCTTGATTTTTCAATAGAAATATAGCTTTTTTTTTGTCATCGAAACGCAACACCTTTTTCTTGCCAAATAACTTTAAATTGGCAGGTCAGATAAAAAGATGGCAAGGCATCGGAGAAGGATCTGAGAGAAAAACGCTAATGTTACGACATGATGCTACTGTAGCCATCGTTTCAAAAGTAATTCTGCTATAGAATATCTAGAAAGTATAGAATATTGGCAAGGCAATAATTTTTTAATAAGCTTAGTTTGCCGCTTCGTTTGATCTTCTTCCACCATTGAAAGGGCTTAGCTGCGAGTAGAAGTAAGCAGAAGTTCTAGAAGTTTTAGAAGCGAGACATTGATTGCTTGCTAAAATACAACTGATAATTCAGAGACATTTGAAGTGTGTTAGTTATTTGGTTAAGAAAATCAACCGCAAAGGATGGAGTCTATGCGTGTAATGCAATTCAGATCAGTCTATAAGAAGCTAAAACGTATTAGAGCTCATCAAGCTTTCATATCTTTCAACTTTTCAAACATCAGAGCATTATATAGATCTCGGTGTGACGTTAAAGGCATAGTTGACCAGACTCAACATCAATCCATGCGTTGGGACGTCATCACATCCCCAGGTATAGAAGTCATGGGATTAGATAGGTATCATATATGTGTACGATCTGATCTCGAACAAAGGAAAAAAGGTGTTTTTCTTCGAAACGAAAAAAACTTGCCCACTTACATTGGCTAGTCCAAAATAGCAGGTAGCTTTTGTTAGCCTGATAGTTTGTAGTAATTTCTATTTCACTCAGTAAAACGTACGGCGCCTCGACAACATGACCTTGAACTTGGCTAAGTTCAATCGGTGATCTGCTGGGTCTCTATTATGTGACGCCATCTACAACTACGATCATGCCTTGCCCTAGTTAAAATTTTCAATTGAATATTCTACAAAGTTTATTCGATTCTCTTTTTTGCCAAAGGATTAGTTTCTGCTTTAGGCCAGCAAACATCTAAGTCATTATAGATGCGCAATTCTACTAACTTTCCACTAATTACTAAGGCCTTCGTTTCTTTTACGTAATTTTCATTTATTTGACCTAAATTGTTTAAAAGTATATTTTTCATGGAACTGTTTAGGCCGGAAGCTAGAGATCTATTTCTGGCTGAAATACCAATTAAATAGGTTGTCTTGAAAGGGAAGGAACGATATCATTGAAACGTGCTGCCAGAAGTAGCGTGACAAGCTGCGTTCACGCTACGTAGTAACGATTTAGCACGACTTTCGGTTACCGGAACACTGAAGCACTTACGATCAGCAGAAGATACTTTTCCATAAGCTGACTTTAGCTTTAAAGTTTAATTTACTTAATTCTATTAAAGGTATCAAATCAAAATGTTGTTATTGAAAGTGGATTTGAACAAACTGCGAATGGTAGTAAAAATAGCGTTCGGCTGCTTCAGGCTTCCGCTAGACCAATCATGATATAAGCCTATTTTCATACAGCAGACATCTTACTTTTTCAATGCATATCAGTAACAATTTTAGCGTCTTACGAATATGTTCTATGTGAGCCGGTTTGTATATGGATATCGATTAGGTCTTTGTTTCATTCGAATTGGTTTCCCGTTTACAAGCAGCACGTTTTTCGGCTAGATTTGGAGTAGTTTTGAGGATTTGAAAACAAGTGAGTCTTCAAAAGTTTGGATAGAAACAACTAATAAAAAATAGATAATTATATACACTTTTTTTTAGCGTTTATCATTAAAATAAAGGTCCGTAACCTCTGCAAGTGTATGCTCCAGTGAAGTAGGTGTTAATACTAATGGACGCTCCGTTTTGTCGCAGGACTGACGTATCGCGTACGACACGATCTATTTTCTCTTCCGTATTTTTCATATCGTCGTTTAAACACGTTACCCTGCATTTGTCTTAAGGCGTGAAACGCGCGCATCGCTCAGTTTTGCTTCCCCGCTGACTGTTTTTGGTTTTGTGTACACATGTAGCATCATCTAGCATTGGCAGAAACGCAAGCACGACAGGATTAGATTGAACTCAGCTGGGCTTCTCGTCGAGCTACCCATGGCCATCAGTCTAGCTCCTACAAGCATTACAGTGCCCCCAGGCACGACTGTGGACGTCCTAATGTCCTTCGTATGCTATACGCAACACGACGAAACTATATATGGGCGAAATATGTAGCCTGTAGTTACAACGACATTTTTATTGGTGTTCGCTATGTTATCGATGGCGCTTAGATCTGCGTCAGTATATAAGAACGGAGTTTCTTAATAACGCATTGTGATTTACGAGCAAAAATGATTTCTCTCGTTTACTGAACTTTCCACCTGTGTCCCACATCACCATAAAGTTTTATATGATAGTTCATACGTTCTGTTTTACTCTTGTTGTATTCGAGTATTGGAGCTAACCCAGAATGCGTACCCCTAAAAGGGTAAGTTAGTCTTGTGTTTTTGCCATTGGGGTGCCGCCAATCTGCTGTCTGATGCTAACGATATAGGCGTACATCAGCCGCAAACAATCGCTTCTGATCTCACATTTGATTCTCTATTGACACACAAATCAAAGCGGGTCATACGAATTATACAAGTGTAAATGAAGGCGGTGAACGCAGAGTGTATTTATCTTGTAGGATAGTTTTTTGTCGTCGGTCATCACATATGGAGAACTTACAATGCGCAACAGCCTGTGCATGCATAACTATGGTCTGTTTATTTAATGAAATGATATATAAACGCACTGCACTTGAAAGCTCGCTTTCGATGGTTTATTTTTTTGGCTAACAAAAAGAAGCAGGCGTTATTATATGCACGCATCACTTTCAAGACAAGACACAGGCTCTAAATATCGCTTGAATAGCTCTTTAAAAACACAATACCTTGCCATGGGCCTTGAAAAGCATTTGACTGGTTCAACTTGCCCTGTCGGAGAGCAGTCATCTCCGTCTTTCAATAAATGGGTTCGCGGTGTCCAAGCCGAGCTACAGAAAGTCAATAGTTTGCTTGCCACACTGTATCAATAAAATGAGGTAAATTTTAATCGGCTAGACTAAACACATACTATCTCAAAGTATATATATATATATACGACGGTCAAACTATTGTCAATAACTTGTTAGGGGCTAAGTAATCTGCACATAGTCCACACAGCAGATACTTCGTATGAATGCTACCGATGTTACTCTAGTTCACCGTACGATAGTCCACTAACTTAAGCAAGGTTGTCTGGAAAAATAGGTTAATTTTCGGTTGCAACAGTCCTTATTCCATGGTAGTTAAATCAATGTTTCAACATAGGCTATATCTCGCTAGTCGAGATTACAAACAGTTCTACAAGCTAGGAAGCCCTATAGGCGTTTCGTCCACGAGACTGTAGACGCAGCGTATTACCAGCGCTCCGGACCCCGGAAAAACGTTATTTAAGCTAATTCCAGTCTGTTTCCTTAAATGGTTGTAGTCAGTGGTGTAATATTCGGATAGTCCTAGATTGAAGTACATATACAATTGTGTATTTAGTAGTCGTCGCAATAGCCGCGTGCAACAATATCGCTATCCACAACATGTTATGAACTTCAGTATTTCCTCGCTTCCGATGGCTGTAAAAACGACTTTCAACTACGTTTCGCCACCCGAAGTTCTTGGCGCTTGCTTATCTGATTATACTGACGCGCTGTACGTTATCAGAGTAACTTTTCTATTTAGAAGCCAGTTGAAGTGAACTAATAAGCCCTGCTTGGAGGAGACCGGCAGTACATCAATGCCATAATGCATAATTTGTGTGAATAGAGAAAGTTATTTACCAACTTAACTAAGTGCATACATTTATCTAAGAAAATACCTACGTACTGAAAATGTATATATGATAATATATTGAAGCTAGGAAGCTCCCACAGTTGGAAGACTGTCTGCTATTTGTATTGATTGCGGAGATTTGTTGAAGTGGTTGGTGAAATTATGACAGCATATGGCCGAGGCTTTATTCTTTTTGCGTCTTACTCTGGCGGACTTCCGTTGTTCTCAATTAATGCCGATGATGTTTTCTTCATATCCCTGTTCTTTGTGATTTTTCCCGTTGCTAATTTCGCGCCTCTTGTTCCCTGTTGTTATTATTGTTGTTATCGTTGTCGTCGTCGGTGGTAATGGTGTTGTTGCTGTTAGCCTCTTGTTGTTGATCCTGTAATTGATGTTGCTCTTGTGTTGATGTACGTCTGTCTGTTCCTGTATTATATTCATGTGTTCGATTGCAGAGGTGCAAGGTGGCGCTATGGGTGTAGTCGAAGGTGGGACCGCTCTGCGGATGAATCGGGCTCACGTTCTAGTCGATGTCGCTTCGTCGAAACCGAATAATGTTCTCGAACGAACGCTTACAGCTATCGGAGCCCCAGGCCACGTTGTCCAAGGACAAACCGGCCCCCACCTGGGCACTACTCACCCGGGGCTTGAGCCCGTATGCAAATCCAGCCACCATCGTCTAGCCCAGAACCAGACAGCTAGTATCTCCGACAAGTACAGAATAGGTAGGTAGATGCATTGATACGTAGATTTACATGCTCTTGTCATTGCTAAGGTCCTCCTATCGGTCTATTTTCTCTGCCGCCTTTTAGTACTTACCTACGGAACATATCTCGATTTACCTTGAAATCGTTTTTCCGAGGCCTTTTTCGGCAGGAAAATTGCTTGTTTATATGAGTGTATGGATTTTGTGTACTTATCATAGTAAACATATTCCTAGAGAACCCGTGACCGTTCCTAGCCCCAATATCGCTTATTCCTGACATAATAGATTCATCGCGAGTTTTGCATTTAAAGGCTGAATTATGTAACGAACGAATTGATGTTAAGTCATTTGTGCCGAAACAGCGAAATAAACGGAGTAGCTTGCGTAGCTCATTTTCTGTCGCTCGGAGTTTTTAGAGATTCAAAAATTCATAAAAACAAAATGGTGTAAATGCGAATTAGCGATGATAGCGTGTCGCTATTCTCATAAAGAATGAAAAAAACACGTTTGTGTTTTAGTAGTCGTAACGTTTTGCGGTGCCACCGCCTATGCCTGTTCGTAGTTTCTTTGTTTTTCCGTCTATTCAATCTACGATATACAGCGCGGTCAATGTGAACTTTGTCCAAATCGATCGATTGTGTTGTAACCTTTTTGCATTAGGTTTTCCTAATTTAATTAGCTCCACATTTGCAAGATAGACAAAGTAACTTTGATAGTCTCGATATTTCAGGATATCGTTTCGAATATGGTTGGGTCCTATATTGATTGAGGTCGATACGAGAAAAAGCCAACATCGTTTTCGGGGGCATCGTGTAAAGCTCTCGTAAATGTAACAAACGCCTGTTCCTGCGTTATTTATTTACAATTGAAAAATTTCAACAGGCAAAGACGATTAGGTTTGTAAATAAAAATATCTGTTCCTAAACGTGTTCTACTAAAGACTATACCATAGGCAGCGACTTATTTTTTTGAATGTTTGAACATATACCTAAGGTATTGAAATGTAAGGACGTAAGGGCCATCTTTAATCAGCCCATGAAGTTCAAGGCATACACTGCAAAGACAGCCACGGTAGCGTTCCGCCCGTATGTATAACCTGATCTTGCGGCTTTAGCAAGACGCAACGCTGGCAAGACCTTCAAGCTGTAGAAGTCTACTTCTTAAAAAGGCCTACGATTCTCAGAGAACATTTCATCCATTCGCGATGTGCTTAAGTTAAATTTTCTAAAGCTGTAGATGCAGTGTTATCCGGTCCGTTACCCCGGGGGGTAAGCAAATTGCAAGATTTTTGGCATGGAAGTAAGTGCCAATTTTGCGCGCGCTGATCATTTTCTTAAATAAAGACGATCTGTATTACGTTTCGGTACAATTAAACCCGGGAACATTTGTTAACGAACAAAGGTTTGCTTCTAGCTATTTGCGTTATTAACACAATATGGCTATGAGATACTGTCGATCATACTATGATAGCCATTCATATGATTAAAACAAGGATATACCGCTTCTGGAACCTGATCCTATGACTGTTTATTAGGCGTCAGGGTATTTCAGCTAAACGATCCATTCGCACGATATGATTAGCTGGAATAAATGTCGCAAGTCTTACATTTGCTATTTATGTACAGTATACATACAATTATGTAATAAGGGGCAATTTTATCGCGTAAGCATTCGACTGTCTCTTGGACAGCGCGAAAATGCTGGTTTCGACCCAGTACGTGACGGCAGTGGGGTGGCATTGTATGTGGAAAATGTAAGAGGCAAAAAAAATACAACTGTACTTTTGAGATGACATACGAACTAACTCGTAAATAATCAAAAGTAGAGCATTGTTGGGCGGAAGCGATAGTACGCGTTCCCTTCTACACTATCCAGAAGAATTAAATAATTATTACCCGTATTTTAAGGGAGGAACAGGTTCCATTGCCAGTATCAAGCACCTTTTGATGAACACGATAGCCGCGCCTCACGGACTGAAAGCGTGCTTCGTAACTCTCGACAATGATCAGGCTCCGTAAGTGCAAAATTGACAACGAATATACCTGATCAATAAGAAGCGTTTTTTTTTTTGTTTTTTTAATTTTTGCTATGTTCCAGCGTGCTGGTCCCGACATACAGTGACTACACACACAGCGATCCATTCCGCAAGTACGTCCTGTCACTACGCTCGAGCAAGCCACGTAACTCATACGCACACGACAATGGCACGGAATGGCGCTACGGCGATTCTGTACCAGGGTACCACTGTCTAGCTTCGAGAAAAAACCAATATAGCAACTGCATCGGCAATAACATCGGGTCGTCGGGTAATTTTTGACTAAACATTGAATAAACTTTGAATCTATTATCTGAAAGTCCTATGGACAAGATGTAATTACACCCGAATTATGTTGAAACCTGTATTACAGCCATTCTCTGCTACTACTATGTTCGTCTAAATTGCTTATGTATAATGAACTAACACGGACGATGCTAATAAGCGACTCACAGTAGAAGTTTATTATCGAAACTTTCGTCTGTCGAAAAATGCTTGCAAATAAAAGTTACCGAAAAAAATCCTAACACTTTTCTCATATATGGTTTCTCAGTTTATTTTCATTTTGATGGTAGAAGAAAAATAGAGCCACAGTTTGGAAAACAAGCCCTCTCTAATGATTTTGTAATAACTTTTAGCTGAAATGGCGTGTTTGGTAGTTTTTAAGTAACCTATCATATAGTTTAATCAGAGCCATCAGCTCTCGTGGATTTGTCGAAGCGATTTTCATCTCCAGCTTCTTACCACCTAGTCACTCCGATACGTATAACCCAGTATTATTACTACTGGCATAATTTTTATTATTCAATTTTGCCTGCCTTCAGTGCTGTGTTCGTAATAAAGTAACGTGCCTATTTCTCGGAGGAGGTCAAAAATATTGCAAACACCTATAATCGTATCTATTGTTTTCAAAGAAATAGATATGTTATAGTATCATTTTCATATATTTTCAACTTTAAAAAATAGATTTAGCTATAGAAGTGCGCCTTGTGGTCAGGTGCGGATAACCGTTGTCTCGGCCATTGCCACATGTGTGAACGATGTTGCTTTGGAATCATGAGAATCCTGCTACTAATATTGCGGCATAGAAATGCATAGCCTAATCTGCAAACAAAGGATATATATATATATATATATATATATATATATATATATATATATATATATATACTTTGATAGGACAAACTATAGGAGAAATCTCACATCCTGAGGAATTATTACAGGCGTGCGTGTGTGTGTGTGTGTGTGTAGGTTCAGGATGCAACGGGATTATTGGTAGGAGTGTTGGAGGCAACAGGAAACGATCTTTGAAATTCATCATTTCAGGAGCTCTTCATATCTCAAGAAAAGCAAGACAGGGACAGCTAATGGCATTCCCATGATTCATAATGTTCATGCGTGCTACCTGATATTCTGGGTGCGAAAAAGGCCTTACACAGTTGTGTGCACAAGGCGTAAGGTGTATGTAAAGGGAGTAAAAGCCGGCAGGTGTCTAGCAAAACAGGTAACCGTTTTTAGTTCTTCTGTAAATAAATAACATACGTTTTAAGAGTTAAAGGAAAATGAGAGCGGGCAGATTGGCGGAGATAACAGCAAGGCAGGAAGTTGACCTTGTTTCTAGGCCTGTGTATAGAAATGGACGAGGTAAGTGGTCAAAACAAGTGATCCTATTCAATGTTCCTGTGCGAGTGAGCGTGTAGAGATGTATACGCCGACCACCTCAAAGATGGCGCTAACAACTTTGGTAATGTTTCGCTTATCGGCTTCGTCGGGCAAGCAAATTTGATGATAAAAAAACGGCATTTTTGAGAAAAGTCGATTAATGCGAAAACATACAAAAACTCCTTCTTAAAACATACGATACCCTTAGAAGTGACCTTTTTTAGGCCCTACAACGGCGCAAAATTTAGAAAATCGCTTAGTAATTCGGCCTCTCTAGAATATAAGTGCAATTAAGTTTATCAAAAAAGACATAATCTTTGTTCATTTTTTTAATCGTTCGTTTTTAATCGTAATTTGTTTAATTGTAAAAAGAAAAAACGCAGGATCATTTTTGAAAAACATGAATGTTTTCAAACTGCTTAGTAAACGAACCTAACATTAGGATGGAATTCGAAAAGTAAAGGTGAGCTTCATCACGAGATACCGGCATAGCCGCAAGCGGTAATGGGTTAATAGTAGGCTAAAATGGCCTAAATCTCTAGTAAAATTATGAAAGTACTGAAGCAGTCTAAAACGGGACAACGACATAATCGGAAGCGAACTGGAAGCGATCATCTGCTAAACAGGGTCATAGAACAATTGTAACAGATTTGGATTGACCTTGTTTGACAAAATAGTAATAAAATAGAATTGTCTAACACCCAGTGCAAATCTTATACGGGCAACAAACAACTAAGCGCCTAAATATTCAGCAGTACGTGGTGCTATGCTCGACTACACGGGTCATTCATTGCAAATAGATCAGCGAAAGCGATTTAAGCTATTTCAGCGCGGAAGTAAAATTATTTCAACAATACGATGTCGTTACGACGACTGGGTCACTGTGGGCTTCGCGAATCGCTGAAGATAAGCGCTCTGTCGGCCAGATGCCGCGATCCTTACAGATCTTCAGAGACCGCTCAATATAAGATGCGTTGGATAACTAAAGGGTACATAACGAACATAGTCCACGCATTTCAAACGACCGAATTTAAAATGGAAGTATAATAAAAAAATACCAAATAGTCATTGAATTTTACTTTTTCATAGAAATAAATAAAGATTCAATGATATAATCTTGACGGCGTAATTGGAACGTATGCTAATCAGCCTGATAAAATGTTACCACATCGCTCATTCGTGTTATAAGCAAATCTCTCGGGTGGGGATTACAGTGAATTTGGCTTTTAATTTCGGCATATAGAAATAAGGCTCTTATAAGGTTTCTGTTTAATTGTTGAGAGACGATGCCAAAAAAAACACTATAAAATGATATGAAGAGAAGCATATCCATGGTAGAACTCAACGCTTCTGTACAGTAGATACATCTGCCCCGCAACGTATCGTCATTACCTAAAATATAGCTATATAGATAATTGACTGATATCATCGGAGTTAATCGTGGTCAAGTGACTGATAACTACCATTCAGATCATCATACATACATACATACATATATATATAAAAATCTAACAATACTGGTGTATTTCGTTATTCTTGTTTATTTTTATTTATAACGACAAAACGTTGTTTTTATTTATTCAAATACTGCTAGTAAATAAAGTATAATAATGTTGTAATTTTGTGAGTTCGCGTCCTCATTTCTATTCGCATGTGTATGGCCAAAATGATATATTCTTCTATCCTTCCATTGATGTTCTAAGAGTATCTATTTACATGGGGAAAGGGGAGGACTGGGCCGGGAATGCCTACCGAGTTGTATTTAAGCCCACATTCTTCTTTTTTAGCGCTTAGTCTTTGTAATTGGGTTCTGGTTGTCAACACAAGGGCTCATTGGATTGAATGGTTACAATCAGCTGTGCTGGGTAGAATAAGCACTGCAGATATCGTCCTGATGATAGCATATCACATGTGCAATTCTTACCATATATGCATTAATAAATTCACTCTTTGCATTGCCGTTATTATCAGACCCAACAGACACGCTCGCTACAAAAAAATATATATATTATGAAGTTGTAATTCCAAGGTGATTATAGTCCGACTCAGTATATAAGGGGCCGTCTCATATCCAGTGTATCGCAATAAGCCGATCGCAAGTTGGCAGCAGCATTTGATGCGAAGAGCTGGATCAAGCCCTGAGGAAAGGCTAAGATTTATAAAAAATAATGCTGAACGCTAGTACATGCTAAGAAAAGGCGTCGACCGGTTTGTGGCAGGTGCCTAGGCATAGGCGACAGAAATACGACCAAAGCGGGCATCGCGCTTGTCGTTCTCTCTGCCCGCTTTTTAAGAATACTCCAAGGCTGTCCTTGCGATCGACATACCGCTGTTCCACTATATCACGCCCTGCAGATGGAATTTGTCACACATACCCAAGGCAGGCCATACCATCGCTACCTTCTGAAGGTAACCTTACATGGGTTACTTTGTGAGTCGGCAGTTTGGGACTTTTTTAGGCGAGACTGGGTCTGCAGCGATCTTAGTTCGACGTAGACGTAGTTCGAAGCCCAACTGTTTGAGTGGTTTCCGCAAGCAGCGGCCCTCAGCCTCTTTGAGTATAACGCCCGTGCCATAGAAGAATGAAGACTGCTACGGTTTTGTCTACAAAAACGCCACATAATATACCGGCTAGGATTACCGCTATGACATCAGACAAATATGTACATATTGTATTATATTGTACGTATATCGACATAGCTTATTCCCCCCTCTGCAGCTCTATTACTACGCCAATTCTATTATGGCTTCTGTTCAAGGATTTCTAAAAAGGAATTTTAAAAATGATAAATCATTTCTAGACGGTCTCAAACCTCAGCAGTTTTGTCCTGTTAATCTTAAATAAACTCATACGAGAGCTCGGAAGTCTTTTTCCAACTAAAAGAATCCAACGTATAGCCCAGCATTAGGCACAACAACTATCTATCGTTTAGTCACCGTTTTTAAAGCATCTAGAAAAATTCTGTACTAACGAATATGCCTTGCATTACGAGGATGCACGAAAGCATTATGTGCTGCTACCCACTAACCACTGCGCTCAGAATGTGGACGCCATCTGCATACTTGGGCTTACCCACAATGGGGAACATCTTCTGCATTGTGGACAAGCTAGCAATCGTTCCTGTCACTGATTTCTGTATAGACGAGGAATAGTTTCTCGACGCTGGGAAATCATGGGCCTGTCGCTGCGTCCTTTAAAAAGTTTAGGGGCAAAAAGCACCGATCCAGTCGCTTGGCTTATTATCCGCGAACCGTTCTTGTCTAATTTTTGTGCCAGGTTTTCACTGACGTCTTCGGGATCCATCCGAGCAATCGTGGGCCCAAACACATCAAATTTAGTAGCAGTTCCAAGTATTATTAGAAATGCAATTTTGATTAGTCGGTGCCTTCCCCGTTCTTGTATATAAGAATGTACTTTTACTTTGGAAGGGATCGCGCACTTAATCGGAATGCAGTAAGCCACAGGTTTCGAGTAGGTAATAACATCGATAGTTTCAATAAGGATTCGTTTAAGGCCGGAAGATTAAATAACAGGGGCTTCTCATTCATATTGTAAAGGCGAGCATCCTTTTTACACTACGACGAGTTTATGATTTCGTTAGAGAAAGAACAGGTTTCTCTCGAGTGATACACAGCTAGTAGCCGAAAAAAAAAAAAGAAAAAACTAGTAATAAACCTTGGTGAGGTTCCTGACCGCAAGCTTTTTGCAAGGGTCGATCAGTCCTCATTAATAATACAGTCCCTCGTTATCTGCTTTGTCTGCGAAGAAACACCATCGACCTGTTTTGGCGTATCTACTTTAACGACAACAAAATCCTTTCAGTTTTGGTCTCTCTTTCCTCAATCAGTTA